CATCAGGGGGTCCTTTTGTCCCTCTGTGGGGGGACACTCCCACCAGGTTTATATCTGGGACTCCCCACCATTTGACCTTAGAACTGAAGAAGCCTCTCGGATGAGAGGTGAAACGTCTTCAAGTAACTTAAAGAAGTCCAGACGCTTTTCTTTGCAAGCTCCTTTGACATAGCCCTATTTGTTTACCAGATTTACCAAATTTGGGAGTCTACATTTTGAGATGAGCCGATCGTTAAAATGCTTTCTAGATATTTACCTACAAAGTCATCTAATGAAACAAATGGCATGCATGATCATTTTGCAGGCTGAATTAAGGCCATGAAGATTACTTTCTCCAATTTGTGATGTCAAATGACGCATTTGAGCAAATGACAGGTATCAGGTGCTCTGCTTTGCCCGTACAGAACCCATTAGACCTGTCTGCAATTCATCTTCATTACATCGCTCACCTTTCATGTCATCTTTTCTTGTCATTTATCAATTCACTTGCACTTTTTAGAGCCATATTTAAAGGTCTATGTTGTTTTTGACATAAAAAAGTGACAGAAATAATTAAGTCCTGACTTTTTAAGAAAGCAAGTAATTGTTGCGAATTGAAGTTAGAAAAGAAATTCAGCAAATGTAGCATCAAATAAAAGGCAGATAAAGTGAGAGTTAAATTAACACTGTAAATTTACAGGTATTCTACTCTGATGTTCTGGAAAGAGCTGCAACAGGTTTGCCGCGCTGTTAAAGTGAGAGGCAGGGTAACGCCGCACTCGAGTGCTATCAACAGCACCACTTACAGACGCAATTTACTTTGCATCACAAAGCAATCATGTTTAGAGGGCTAACCCACTAATAAGATAGAAGCACTACAAAGGCCCCAAAATAGAAGCTACAGAGTGAATTCAATTGAGCTGCAACAGCTCTTGTGGAGCTTTTGCTGTTGTGAGTCATAAGTGTTGGTTCTGTGTCTTGATGACGCGGGCGGATGCGTGGGTGACTCTTGGGGAGGGTGGGCGGGTAGAAGTAGCAGATGCTGTGCTTGTGTTACCCCAGACCCTTGTCATCCACTCAGTTGCTGCTTCATTCAGTCGGTTGTTGCTACGATACTACGTGGAAGATGACACTTGAAGTGAACACGCAAACACAAAAAAGCTGTTACGTTTTTACACATTCTGTGTTTTTTCTTCTTTGTATGGTAGACACAATTGAAAAGTCTTGCGCACATCAGAGTGGTGTGAAGCCATACTGGGATTGCTTTGCCATTAGCACTTTACATAATGCTGCCGTGGTCAATATAAATCACACACACATATACAAAAAAAGCAAACACTTGACCTATTAATGAAACGCTGGAACTCATGTTTCCACAGGTTGCTCTTTCTCTTGGGTGGATAATGAGGAGCACAGAGTTTGGGAGCTGTTTTGATCATCATGAAGCCCAGTGCACTTTACCTTTGGTATTTCCTGTGGTATTTCCACAGCTGAGCTGCAAAAGTGACATTTCTATGCAGAAGTGAAAGCAGCTTCATGTTTTCTAACTGAAAACCAAGTAGTTTTGCAATATTTTGACAAGGAATGCTTTATCCCAGCTATTCTAGGGCTGAAACTGGACCCTGGATAGGTTGTCAATGCTCACTTTGGCTATGGCAAATTTAGAGTCATCAGTTAAACTAACAAGCATGTCTTTGGACTGTATGAAGCTGGAGTACCTGGAGAGAACCAGCTCGAGCAAAGGGAGAATATACAAATCTCAATGTTGTCTCAAAGCGCAAATTTCAACTAACATATTCAAAATATAACAATTTAAAAACTGAAAGTCTGTTTTGGATAGATATAGAAAATGTGTCATTTATATGTTATTATATTAATTACTGTATCATTCTTTAATATTCAGTGTCAGAGTCTTTGCATGGATATATTAATGCCACATTTCTCTGGAGCCTCAGTGCGTGTATTTTGATCTCAAATGCTAATGGTGTATTTTGAGGTGTGAGCCACGAATGAAGTCATTCCTTGGGAAAGATGCAATGAATGTGCTATTATAAATTCTTTCGCCTGTGACATGTTCTCTGTTACACCTGAGCTGTGAGACTGATGGCTGCAGGCTGGTTTCCCATCACTCCGTTTTGCTTCAGTTCAGCTGTAACTCAGGTGCACCCTCCTTTCTGCAATAGTTGTTTGCACATTTGTCAGACGGATTAATCAAAACGAGAAGCCCTGACAACGCTTCTGCTCAAAGTAAAACTCCCATCCAATTCTACAGCCACAAAGCAACCTAAAAGCAGTCCCACAGATCATATTGTTCTTGAAAGTAACAGATGCCTCTGGGCAGCATGAAAAAACATCTGGGACACATGAGGGATGTTTCTTCTTCCAAAGACAGACTTCTGTAGAGCTTCCAGTCATGTAAAGAGACAGTGACAAAAAGCTTTAGTGGTTAGGGACATGGACAAGACATGCTGACCAGTCGGAATGACAGATGCTCTAACTGTTTGCATGCTTGCTGCTTCGATTCTTCTTCCAGAGCAGAAACTCAGCTGGAGCTGCTTCCCAGTTTGGGGTGATGGCCCAAACTCCAAAGCCACACAAGTCCCAAAAGCTGCAGTTCCTCAAATGACCACTTGAGGCAGAAGGATGAGTCAGTCTGTTAAAACAACTAACTTAAAAGTTGCAATAAAAACATTTTGTAGGTATAAAAAGTGCTTTTAATCTCTAAAGTCAGTTTGTTTATATATGTTTGTGCTAAGGTGATAGTGGTCAAAGTCACATGGAAGTACTTCCCGGAAGCACCGCTTGCATTGTGCTGCAATTTGCTTGCAGCAAATCATTTGTGCACAGCGCAAGCCAAAGTGTTGTTGTTGTGAGAAGGGGGCTTTATAGTGACCTATTTTTAGAGGTGTTGCTGCTTTCAGAGGCAGGTGCCAGAATGTGGTGCTTACATCTGTAAATGTACTGTGTACTAACAGGGGGAGGGGGGTAAAGCAATTAATCAATAAATCACCAAAACAATTGCCAGTAACAATATTTTACATAGTATATGCTGCTGCGCTCACTTCTGCAACTGGAAATAAGTCATTACTCAGTTGAGTCAGGAATAACACATTTGAGGTGTGGTCTATAGTCCGATTGGGTGCTGATTGTGCTGTCTGATGTGACGTCTGAAGTCAGAAATATAGAATTCATATATGACAGGATTTATAAGAACAGTAACCTCTAAGTAAAGACTCACGTCTCTGGCGTGAAACTCCAAGTTTGGGTTTGTTCTGTCAAGTTTAATCACTTTTGACATTTCTAAGGAACTTTTTGCAGCTGCTCATTCAAAAGTGCATTAGCCCGCTTTGAAATTCTTCTAACAAGTGTCGTAGTGATGAAAATGTGTCAATGTCACTTTGAACTAAAGGCCTTTATTTATAGGTTTAGAAGAGCCTCATTTTGACACTGAGACCTATTAATTGAGCTCTCCACAGACGTCTCCCTGTATCTAAAATAGGTAGGAAGTCCACCGTGGAGGTGAAGAGGGACAAAGTAGGCCAAGGACTCTCACAGAAAATAGACTGCTACTCACTGAGGGGCTGGATCATCCCGAGAAAGAACAGGAAATGGGAAAGAATGTGGGTTAACAATAATTGTGGAAAATCACATGAGTACAGACACTCCACTGGAGTAATCAAGTGAAGAGATTTAGTAGGTATGATGTGATATTGCATGCACTTAAACTTTATCTAACATTATCTACGTGAGGGCTAGAGTTAGGCTGCATCAATAAAGGAAAGCAACTAAATACAGCTATTCACATCATTTACAGAAGTAATTTTAAAGACACTTAAATCTGAGGATTTTGATATTATGCTACTTTTTCCATCCAAATACATTTCAGAGAACCTTTGTAACTCCTGTATTTATTTGACAACTGTTAGCATTGTTTTGGTTGAATGTGAGCATTTTGACATTTGACCTCTTTATAAAGTAGTTCTCATTGTTAGGGCCAAATGACCTATTTTTGCACAAGATAAAATTAGCTCTATTTTGACACCATGACACTACTTGCATGTGAAGGCATCACTAATAATATATCAATAAAATATTCTGTATTGAGCAACAATAACAGATGAATCCACAAAACTTAGTTGTGACTTGCAGTGGAATAATTTAGAACATACAATGCAAAATAAGTGGATACCATTCATAAATCTATACAGTCTATGAGAATTCCACTGTCTACCTCATATGAATTTATTGTTGAAATATGGATTTAGATCATTTACTTTATCTAGTTAATGTGTGCTTAGTTTCATCTAAATGTATGTTTTGTATACAGTTTTTTTTAAGTCCACGATTTTCCTTTGAAGCATAAATTACCTTCTACACCAAAGAACAAGAAACTTCAAATCACACTTTGGCACAGTACATGAGGAATACATGAGAATACATGAGAAAACCAGTGCTAAAACTAATAGTAGGCTGCCTCCTTACTGAACTGAAGTTAGACCTTCCAAACTGTTTCTGAACAAAGAACCATCATGCCTTTGAATAGAGCATCAACTCCTTGGTTTACCTGCGCTGCCCTCTTGTGGCAACGTCCATCACTGCATGGTAATTTTTTTTTAAAAAAATGACACTGTTTCAAAACATCAGCACATTCTTTATTTACAAGTCCTTACATGACAAAAAAAATGGTGTTGACAGGCTCAAGACTACATGGAGATACAACGGCGACAAATGCTCAAACTAGAATTTCAAAGCAAATGGAGTAAGTCTGACGACCGGTGACGCAGCTGGTAGTGAATGTGGTGTATGGGTCATCATTTCAAGTCTAGAGACTTAGTAAATCTATTTAAACTTGCATATGGCATTTTCCTCAGTGTTCATGTCAAGCATGTGACATGATCTACCGGAGCCAGTTCCAGCAAGTCAAAGCAAACTTGAACTCCACTACATGACGACAGGAATGTGCACATTCTTGTTCAGTTCAAACACAAATATCCTAGCAGTGTCTTTTCACACAGCAAAACCACACCAAAGAAAATCCCTACTCCTGTCAGCCAACACATGACAGCAACAACAGAGGAGGAGGGACACGTGTGGAAGTATTTTTCTTGTGACAACTTTCTTCTTTTTTAAATAAAAAACCTAACACTTGTGAATGTCACACACATACACACAGCTGGTTAACAGGCTAACTGTATGCTTGGGAGTCTTAATATAAAAGCTGAGAACAAAGGGCACATTTAGGACAAACGGAGGGCAGGATGGATGAAACAAACCCATGGCACTTTGAATAAAGGGGATAAAATTAGGCATCTGAACAGGTAAGGCGTGGACCGATCTAAATAGACTTTCTGTAAAAACTCTGCACGATGTAAAAGCTCTCTTACACATAAGCTTAGTCTCTGCCTAAAGTAAAATCACCTGTTTAATATTACATTATAAACATTATACAGATGGTTTTCCCTACCAACTAGCCATGCTGCACACAGGCAAAATTGTTAAGAGTCTTAGTTGTACAAGCTTGCATCTGTTGTTGGCTTTACTGGAAATACAACTCAGGATGGGGGCATATTTCCCTTCTTTGTCCTCTTTATTATCAATGCAATCTCTCCCCTTTCAGTTGTAAAATCAGTGACTATGGATCTGGATGTTACTCTGAAACTAAAGGGCAGAAGTGTAGTGGATCGAGCAATACAACAGTACATGATGCTGTGCATTTCCACAGACTCAGTACTGAAATGCACACATCAACAGCAAACATCCTAAATGATTTTTATGATACACCTGCAGTACTTCCCTGCATATGCACTACAGCTGTTTCATCTGTACATACACATTTTCAAGTATGCGAGTGGACTTCTTGACATAGCTAAAACAGGTTTGCATCTCCTTAGTGAAAGAACTGAAAACAAAACTAAGAAAGACGGGCAGTACCCTCTTCAAAGCGAGGGGCATTCCACAATTTGGGTCCAAAAACTAAATGATAATGGTTTAATGTCAGCCTCCCCGGTGTAGTATTATAAAAACAAAAGCAAATCAGATTTACATGACCGAGTGATTGGTCATCATTGGCATCAAGTCTGTTGAGTCTGTTTGAAAATAAAACTAAGAAATTTTAGAGAGAAACACACTGAAAGTGTTGTGTGACGCAGTGCTTAAACTGACTGTTACCAAGAGTTGGCTGTTCCCCTTCACAATGCACCCGCACTGGTTTTAAGTGTCTGGGACAAAGTGTTTTTGTTCTATCTCTGGCAGACAGCTATTGCCTTGGGTCTGAGGAGCGAGGCTGTGGATCCACGGGTACATTATCCACAGGCAAAGGCCTAAAAATCACGAGGAAAAGAGAAAAAAGCAACTAAGAAAAAACAGTTACCTAACACTTGTGGTCAAAGGTTTAATTTCTTTTTTTTTTTCTTTTAAAACAGGAACTACAAAAACTGAGTCTCTCCCCTGACTTACATGGAGCAGCAGGATTGGGTATTTCTTATTAACATGATCGCACTACTTTCTTTTCACAGAGGCAGCATCTTCATCCTTCAGGACAAACTTTTTCCTCAGAGCTTCTGAAATCAGCGATGCCGAGTCCTCCTCCCTGAGGGAAGTGCAGCCTCTGTTGTACCTGCATCACAACACCAAAACCATTAAATTTATGACTACAAACCTGAGAACTCTGAGGCTTTCTGCACATCAACATCTCCTACCTGTCTTTGCTCATCTTCATGCGGTTCATGTCCTTCAGGATGTCCATAACATCAGCAAAACTGGTGGACTTTGATAGCGACACTGTATCCTCCTCTGCCTCCCGGAAGTCCATGCTAGGCCTGTCTAAATCAAAGGTAGCTGATGCTGTCATAGAAACAGGGGGCAGAGGGTCAGGGACCAGCTCTGAAACCACAGAGACGGCATCTTTCTCATCTTCCTCTTCCTCCGGTTCTTCTTCCTCTGTGACGTCGCTGATGACAAAGGAAGCAGCCGCCGTGGGGGCCGGCTGGTAGGACGCCGCCTCGAAAGGCGCCATGGAAAAGCTCATGCTTGTGTCATCAGGCGAGAGCAGATCTGGGGTGAGGGGGTTAGAGCCTGAAAGAAAGCAGAGAAATGGTCTGTGCAGCAGTTGTTTAGCTTGTGCCTCTCAGCAATGTCCCACATAAACAATTGCACATTTCAAACTGAGCCATGTCTGATTATTTCCTTTGAATCGAATATAAAGTCAAAGTATAAACATAAACAAGCATAAAGCGCTTTAAGCACTGCTTCTACGTCTTATTGTCCTAATTATTCATAGTTCACGTAATCCCCTATGTGTGAGCTCCCTCCAGTGCTCACACATCACAGCTGTGCCCAAAATCAATTCATCAGGCAGTTGGAAATTTTAAATCAGTGCCTATGTACTTAAACATCAGTTCCAAAGAGCCACTTCAAGCTGGATCCACAGATCACTTGTTCAAGTGGCCTATTAAATAACAAAGGTAAACATGTCTACAGCTTCTTCGTTTTGGTGTCTATAGCCCATTTCCCCATTAATGACATTAAAGTGGAGGTGTGATCATACTCTAGTGCACGGGTGGGCAACTCCAGCCCATGAGGGCCGGTGCCCTGTAGGTTTTTAGATGTGTCCTTGAACCAACACACCTCCTCAATGGCTGTATCCCAATTCAGGGTCTGCAGCCTTAAAGGCTGCATTTTAAGGCCGATTACGTCACAGCGACGAGACGAAGACTGTCCCAATTCAAAGGCTGCTCGAAATGCGGCCCTCAAATGCGGTCCTTCATTTCCCTGAATTTTAAGGATGTGGCGTTGTAGACTTTGTGGCCCAACATATCCCAGAATGCATAGCGCGGCGGTGGGTGTTGATAATTTTGCCGAAAAAAAAACGGCAGATGAGGGGCGGCCGAAGAGTAAACTTTAAGTACTGAATATTATGTCACTTATTTATGTGCAAATGTTTAATAACGAAGAACATTAAAACATTACTGTTGGCCACATGTCAGCAAAGTTATGTGACATTAGTGACGTTTGTACTAACTTGGTTTTAAAGCCTTTACTTTAAAATATACGCCGTTCAATAGCTGACCTTAATCTTACAGTGAATGATCAAAGCTCATGTAGAAACAAACAAACAAATGAACAAAAGATTTTCTCCTTCATTTCTGTCAAACAAAGCTGTATGAAACGTTTCCAGCTGTTAGTATCATGGTTGCTAGGCAACCTGGGCAGCGCAACGGAGGCTAGACCATCCCATTTCACAAGCCTCTCACTTCCGGCCTTAGCGGTCTTTGAGTACACGGCCTTTGTGGACCGTTAAGGCTGCGTACTTTAAGGCTGCAAACCCTGAATTGGGATACAGCCAATATGTCCCGAAGTTTTCCAGAGGCCTGGTAATGAATTAATGATGTGATTCAGGTGTGTTGACCCAGGGTGATATCTAAAACCTGCAGGACACTGGACCTCGAGGCCTGGAGTTGCCCATCCCTGCTCTAGTGGAATTGTTTGCCTGATAGATGAAGACTTCCATTTTTTTAAATCATAAATCAGAATTAAAGTCAGAATCCATTTATTTGAATTATAATACAACACAAAGAATACAATGCAAATGAATAGAGCTCCTATTAAATGGGTAACTCTCAGAGATTATCTTTACTCACTGACCTACAAACTGATGCCAAGATATCTTAGTACTAAAGAGCCAAGCAAAATCAGGGCTGCTGACTTGGCAACAAAGGAAACACAGTCATGGGAAAAGTAACTCTGTCACAGGCTCAATAAAGCAATCTTAAAGCTCCAATCCTCTGCGGACCTCATTTAACCAGACTGCCAGTTTCCACCCACCACAGCGCTATGGTTGATATAGCAACAGCTGACAACACCTTACCAGTGTGGTAGCAAATCTCTGGTTGTTTTACCTGAATCACTTGCCACAATTTTAGCGATCTGCGCTCGAAGTCTGCTGAGCTCATCCTGCAGTGCTGTAGTACGGTTCAGTGCAGTCACGCCGGGCTTCTTCAGCCCCTCCATCCTTTTGCCCTCACGGCGGAAATTGGGCACAGATGAATTCCTGTGAAGCACCAGGAGCGGTGTGGGTCGCCATTCGTGTTTTAGAGGACGTGTGTCACTTCTAAAAACAGAAGAGCAAGTGTTTACTGTCACAAAAAAACAGATTTGAGGTGTTGAGTCTGTTTATCTCCCCAGGGTACAAATGTCTCCTTTTAACAACTCCCCAGAAGAAATCTTTGTCAACAGCTCATCAGATAGGTGTCTATTGTGAAACATTAGCACTGTAATTAATACAACCTTTTTCAAATTTCATGAATAAAAGGACAAAAAAACCCCACCAAGATGAAGCAACACCTGTCTAGTACAGGAAAATAGGACAATATATCAGTTTCCTAAGTTGGAAAATAAGTGTCTGGTTTAACGCTGTTGAGAAGAATTAACCCGGCACTACTCCATAACCTTCATGTTTGCCTTTCTATTCAGTTCAGTCTAGACTCACCTCACTCTGGCATATGTCTCCTCTTCATCTGCAACAATCCAGGCTATGTCTGCCAAGGTAGGAACCATAGGTCCGTCCATTGGACGAAGAGAAGGCAGACCTGGTAGCTCCTAATGCACAAAGACATTAATGTATACAGCAGCATTTTTTTTATATAAAAAGGACAGAATAATTAGGAGAATACAGTATTTTTCATTTACCTGGAAACATGCCCTTTGAGGAGGTTTAAGTGGAAGAGTGGAACCTATTCTTCTCACAACACTGCGCGTGGATCCGTGAGGCTTATTTTGCCAGATGGGTATAACTTCCTGCAAACAATAAAAACACATACGTTTTTTTTTCTTGCTGGATTTGTTTTCCTGAACAATCCGTGTGTGTAAAGACTCTTTAAAACTTACCGTTTCTGCTTCCATGTTAATTGTGGATCAGTCTCATTCGTCTCATCAGGAAGTTGCACACCAAAGTTTGTTGCTGGGAGTGTCTGAAGACAAAAAATTTCAGTAAACAGATGTCATGTGAGAGAGACTGCCAGTTCTCGGGACCAAAAATTACTTATTATTTAAGAGCAGTGATGGGAATAACGGCGTTACATGTAACGGCATTACTAACGGCGTTACTTTTTTCAGTAACGAGTAATCTAACTAATTACTATTCCTATCGTTACAACGCCGTTACAGTTACTAACAAGAAAATACGGTCCGTTACTATTTTTCAACAAACAGACGGTTGAAGCCGTGTTCAGCTTACTGCATCTTATATCAGTTGCACGGAAGTAGCTGACTACGTAAGTAATCTGGACGCTACAGCTTTAAGCAGCTGCGCGCGCTCCCGCGGACGGTAATCACGATCACTGTCTAGCACAACACCTGGAGCTAAGGGTGCAAAACAATCGCATGAGTGCTGCTGTTTGACTGAGGAAGAATAAAGTAGTCGTGGTAAGCCAATCACATGACCACTTAAAGACAAAGCAACAAGGTGATATATACCAGTTTTTAAATTGTGTTGATAGGCCACGTAAAACCAAAGTCATGATAAACAATATACACGCGGTATTTTTTCCTCAATAGTTTCGCCACGTTTACTGTGTAAGCCAGGGGTGGGCAACTTCAGGCCTCGAGGGCAGGTTTTAGATGTGTCCTTGAACCAACACAGCTGATTTAAATAGCTAAATTAGCTCCTCAACATGTCCTGAAGTTCTCCAGAGGCGTGGTAACGAACTAATCATGTGATTCAGGTGTGTTGAACCAAGGTGAGATCTAAAACCTGCAGGACACCGGCCCTCGAGGCCTGGAATTGTCCACCCCTGGTCTAAGCACAGCGCAGGCAAGCACTCTCTGCTTATGAGCAAAAAAACAAAAACAAAAAACAGGGGAAGTTTTAGGAGTGACAGCGAGAGAGAGAGAGAGAGAAAGACAGCAGAAAAAGAGAGAGCGAGTTTTGAGATGTGAGAGATGTGTGACGTTTAGCGTGTTTGGAGTGTGTAGTTAATGTGTTATCTTTGTGTAGTTAGTGTGTAGTGTTGTGGATAGTTTTGTGTTGTGTGTCAGAACAATGAGGCGACTGCTGTCTCCAGGTAGAAACAGGAGTGATACACCTGCTGCTGTCAGACCTGCAGGTATCAGGCTGTGATGTTCTCCTTTAGAGTGGACAGAAATTATTTTTTCGGAGTGGCACAAATAATTTGTGTGGCATCTTGTTGAATGCAGAACAGCTGATTGTTCTGTAAATAGTTTGAAATGGTTATTTAAAAAATCAAGGTAAAAGGTAAATGGATGCAAATAAGGAGGGAGGGAAAATCAAAAGTAGTTAAAAATGGACAATTATACCCTGGACCCCAGAGGGTTAAACGTTTTTTAAAGTAACGGAATAGTTACTTTTCAAGTAATTAATTACTTTTAGACTCAGTTACTTTTCAAAGAACTAACTAGTAACTATAATTAATTACTTTTTTAAAGTAACTTGCCCAAAACTGTTTAAGAGGAACAGGAAAAATCTGAACACATGGTTACTTCACAAGAACTAGTACTCTCCCATAAATTAGATTTTTCTTGTTTTAGTAAAATATGACATAAAGCAGTTGTTAATATCGATGACTTGTTACTTAGTAGTAATGCAGGGCGATTCGTGTTACTTACCATACTTTCCAAACACATCAGAAATCGCCATAAAAGGCTCAAATACACAGTTAAGTTATCAGCACTCATTTGATTGTGGCTTTTTTGAAAAATTTCTTTTTAAAAAACGAGTCGTAAACAGGTGTTATAAACTGTCACGCCTCGGGAGCTAGTCAGAGCTGGTACAGCTTAATCACACTCCATCGTCTATCTGGTAAACATCAAATAACGGAGTAATAATCGTGAATGCTAAAATAGCTAGGTAGCTAAAACCGGTAATTTTATTAATGAAAACGACGCATGCTACTTTGTCTGACATTAAACTGGATGAAAGCAGGTGCAAAGCGGTAGAAAGACAACATTTAGTCCTGTGATTTGTGAACAGCTTTGCTGAGTTTGTCATTAGCCGGGTAGCTAACCTAAAAAATGGTCCCAAACACAGGCACCGTCACCTAGCTTTAGCAGCACCAAAAACGGCCCCCTGCTTGACCCCTCAAATTTGAAATTCACCAACATATCTCAGCATGTTTCGCACAACTTAACAGAATTCAGCACAAGCTTGAAAACTGTAACTTACCGCCGATTATAAATGACTACAATCCCGAGGATGAAGTGGAAGCAGCAGCTTCTCCTCTTCGTCTTTCAGATTGTTGTCGTTCAGCAGGCCGGAAACCTGTACCTCTCTGTCCTGCGATCTGATTGGCTGCAGCTTCACGAGCTTCCTTTCCTTGCAGGATTGGTTCAAGAGCACCTCCTACAGGTGGAAGTGAGCAGTGCTTACAAATAAATCCACGAATATCTTTTACCAAAAACCACGAGCTGTTATTGTTGTCAAACTATGTACAGTATATTGCTGTCTTGAGCCCAACCCTCAACACCACATGACCTACTTTTAAGAATAATACAATTATAATTTGAGGGTTTATAAAGTCTTGCAGGTGTTTAATGCTTTTTACTACAAAAGTCTGATTATTTGTTGTTGATTATGGATTGCCCAATGCAATGATATAAGTGGCCAAAAAGTACTTCTCAGTATAAGGTAGTGCATTTCAACATCCCGTATTGATTTATGTTTAAAACCAAGTGCAATTAATTTAGACATGATTAAAATAAGCTGCTGATGTTCAAGCCAAACATCAGAATGGAGAAGAAAAAAAATGTCTTAAGTGACATGAAAATAGGATGGATGTTTGTGCCAAAAGTTTGGACTGCTGATCTGGGCAGTGTGGGTGGGAGTTCCTATACAACCATATATATATATATATATATACAACAGTAACTCAAACAACCACTGGTTATAACCAAAGTATGCAGATGAACATCTCCAAAAGCAACAAACCTTGAAGCAAATGTGCTGAAGCAGTAGAAGACCACAGCTGGCCACTCCTGAGCGCTAAGAACAAAAAAAAATGAGGCTACATTTGATATTGACTCACCACAACTTGACAATAGAAGACTGGGATACAACATCTGATGACTCTCAGTTTTTAATACAACATTCTGGTTTTAGAATTCAACATAAAGAACATGAAATCATAGATCTATTGTTCCTTGTATCAATAGTTTAGGTTGCTGCTAATGGTGGTGTAATGGTGTGAGGGATAGCACACTTTGGGTAACTTCATGCCAGCTGAGCGAGCCTCATTTAAACACAACACCCTACTTAAGTAATTGTTGATGACCATGACGAGAGCGTTTCCATTTTCTAATGTCTGCTTTTGGCAGGATAACACATTATGTCACAAAACACAAATAATCTCAGAGTGGTTCCTTGAACATGACATTGAGTTCACTGTACTAACACACAAACAGACTCAGTTCAATACAGTGCATTTGGAATGTGGTTGGACAGGAAATTTGCATCATGGATGTGCAGCTAAGAAATCTGTAGCTAATGTAAGATGCTGTCATGTCAATCTGAGGAATGTTTTTAGTACCTTGTTGAATCTATACCATGAAGGATTTAAGACAGTTCTTGACTAGCAGGTATACCTAATAAAGTGACAAGTGAGTGGTTACCTGCATTATATTTTTCATAAATTGATTACATTAATTTTTGTTTTGTTTGTTCTGTTTTTGCTGTGAAGCTTAACCATGTGCAGGTAAGTAGGAAATATTTTGTCTTTTATTGCTGTTTTGTTGTCGCATACTGTATTCCCCTACTTTATTTCAGGGAAACAGTAATCTTTTATAATATTTGTTTTTTTTAGAAAATAGTACTCTTTGATTATAATATTGTTTAAGAAATGCATATGCCTGTATTTATATATAAATACATGCGTAGTATTGTATTCTCTGACGTTTATAGTAAGGGTTCTTTGGACAAACTAGTCCTCTGTCTCAGAAGCGATGAGAAAAGATGTTTCCCTGCTACATACTTCCGCCTTCGCCGTTGCCTGCCGATGGTGGAGGAACAATCTTGACAGGTAGCTGTGAATCGGCGCGACGCCGGGGAACAGGGCGGAACTTGTTACTGTTGTCTGCAGTGATATCATAACACTGCAATATGAAGACGCGCTCATATGACCGCCACCCGTCTCCATCCCTGGGCTAGACACAGGTCAGTGAAGACAACACTCGGTTAACCTGCTGCTCCTATAAATCCCCCATCTACCCCAAATCTGCCGCTAATGTATATAAATATATATATTTTTGCCATAGCTGTTGTCTTGATGATTCTGTGATGTCGTCTCAAATGCTTACTTCCTCCACGCTGATAATGACACCTTAAACATTTACATGAAGCATGTTATTATCGGGTTTTTTTTTAAACCTATGATCGTGTAATGTTCCTAAAGTGTGCAGTACAAAGCTAAGCTAGCTAACACTGCTGTTGCCGCTAATTCAGATATAACAAATAACTAATCGCTCAGGGATGTGAGCTTTGGGATGCCACATGAAATGCAGGAATTAGGCTGTAGCTACAATGGTGCATTAATTACGACGTGAACATAGTTTTAAGTAGTGTCTAAGTAGCGCCTTCCACAGCTAAAAAGCCAGCACATACATTATCTGATCCATCTATAAGGACATTCCTGCATAATAATATCCTGTTTTACATAGTTACAGAGATGCAAAACAAAACGGTAAGCTGGTCAGCAATTTTTGATCACTATAGTTCCTATTGACTGTAAGCACGTATTTTGATGGATATTTTTATTGAACTGGAAATCTGTCTTAATTCCCTTGAGTATTCTCACCCTTTATTATCTGGTAGTATGCCACTGGGAGAGGATAGAGGGTTAATAAGTCAGAGAGTGTGTGTAACCTTACTTTATAGATCTCTGAGCAGAAAGACGGTGGTGAAGGAAAACATTAATACAGTTCAGTGTTTCAATATGTTGTAATATTGTTTTCCTGCAATATCCCACTGTTCCGACTGCATAAAAAGTCAACCTTTTTTAGATTCAGTGCTTATCTTGTTGCGTTCTTTCTATTGTGATAGTTGACCTATAACAGGGCTATAGTAGCATGTGACTGGCTGTTGATGAGGCATCATATAAGTTTGTGCTCTGCTTGTTTGATTTGACGATTTAAATGGCTCTTTTCTTCCCAGGTCTTATCATTTTGGTCAGGCTGCAACCTATTTAAGAGTGTGCCAAACATTTCTCCTGCTTCGATTAACCCTGTTAATGTGTATCTCACTTCTTTCTAGGGTAAAGTGTAGGCTTTTGCTTCACTCATCTCTCTTTCATAATTAGGTGGATGCTTGTAAAATCCCTCCACATTTTCTGACTTTATTGCTGTCTTGTGTAGGTGCCATAACTGGGGCAGGAGGTAGGCATGGGGAATAAAAGGAGGAGGAAGGATGCCAGCTGAGCCACTCGTCCCTCTGCATCTGCCACTGCTGCCAGCAACAGACTAAAGAAAAACAGAAAATGGCTCAGTCTGTGAGGAGGGCTGGGACTTTAGGAGCCATGGACTGTGAGCCCCAGAGAGACAAGGCGAGGACTAGCTACTTCGGCAATGTGAAGACCAGGTCAGGCCTCTAATACTTGGATTACTGGAAAGAAAGCAAAGAAGAAAGCATGTCTGTGATATGTTTGACTGATATTAGCTTGAGTAAGCTACAATTTAGTCCTTGTGTGTGATGCTTGACTACTAAACAGAATCCCAAAATGCAAATTTCCAACAACTCCACGCTCAGTCACATCATGTGGGTGAGAGCCATAGCATCTTGCCAAGAACTCTTTCAGTCTCTTCTCTAGCCATTGCAAAGACAACTCCTACTCCCCTATAAATAACTGGGCTCTGGCTGTGAACGCTGCTGTAGTCTGTTATTCACACTTCACATACTCTAAACAACACAATCTTTGAATCCCTGCTGTTAAAGGGAAAGTCCACCTTAAAGTATAATTTATATTTGAGTGTTAATATTCATTCTCGGCCAATGGTTACATACATTTGTGGTTAGAAGTGTACATCCACCCATTATGGCATTAATGTCATGGTCATTTTTGACGTTTAACTATATCTAGAGCGGTTCTTTTTTCCAGGATGGAATAATTGGACATCACACTTCTTAAATTACTTTAAAATGCCAGTCACAAGGTTGAAACTATTTTGTATTCTCTAATCCAGACAGGGTCAAAAGTAAACATAAAGATTCAACTATACACATCCACTTTTCAATAAGTGGTGCTGAAAGTTCTAAAGTGTTATTAAACTTGAAGGCCAAGGCCTATTAACTTCTCCTTGGTGATCATGATTGACTAAACCTGGTAATTTCTCTTTGTTAGCAATGAAAAAAGATTTGTTTGACAGGCTCAGACCAGTGGGAAGTCCAAGGAACTCAGTGAAGATCTAGAAAGCAGAGTTCTAAACAATTGCAGATTTCACGATCATCATTTCAAACAATTGTGCATAAGTAGATGTTATTCAGATATGTCACCACTTTTTCCAAAGTCTGGAAGAAGACCTAAATTGTTGCCTAAATTGACTTTGGTTAGGATGTTCAGGAACTACACAGGAACCAATAAGGCTTAAGCCTGCGATGAACTAGAAACTGCTGGAATATCAGTGTCATTGTCCACAGTGGAGGAAAGTTTTATGGTCAGACAAGACAAAGATTAAGCTTTGTGGCCACAAGAGGCATGTTTGGAGGAGTGATGGTGAGGCTTTCAAAACTAAGAACACTGTACCAGTTGTAAGCATGGTGGTGGTAGCATAATGCTCTGGGGGTGTTTTGATGCCAGTGGTACGAGTACACTGTACAAAGTGGATGAAATAATGAAGGAAGAGGACTACTTCCAACAGTTTCAACAGTTAGACAGTTGAAACTTGGACACAACTGGGTGTTCCGGCAGGTCAGTGATCCCAAACATCAAAACTGGTTTTGGAATAGCTAAAGTAGGCTAACATTAAACTTCTGTAATTTCTTTGCCAATGCTCAGACCGCAATCCTACTGGAAATTTGTGCACTATACTTAAAAGCTGAATCTGTGTCAGGAAACCAACAAATTTAAGTTAATCCTACCGATTCATCCAAGAAGAGTGGTCAAAGATCCCCCCAGAGTTATGCAAAAACTTTCTTGGCAGCTACTAAAATGTTTGGTCAAGTTACATTTAACCAAATATTAGTTGGATTATTGGTGTGTTAGTATAGAGCCTTGTTAAACATTGCCGAGCTTTAATATAAAGGCATTAAATCTGTCTTTGATTCTCTGTGCCTCAGGTTGGGATCCAA